TACCTATGAGAGCTACTATGGCTTGTAATCCTGGTAGTTTAGGGAACCAAGAACTAAAAATATTCTTAAAATCAACACCTTGCCATACTTGATTAGGATTGTAGGTTAATTGTCGCATCTCAGTTGTTAATTGTGCTACTACTTTGCCAACTTTGTCAATTTGAAGACAACAGTTCGTAAGATTGAACCTACCACATACCCCTCCTTCTTTGGCTAGTATGTAGTCTAAAGCTAAACGATTTTGGTAGACAGCTGTGCGTAATTTGTCCGTAGCAGTTGCTAGAGTGTTTAGAGCCTTGTCTATACGTTGTCCTGCTAAATCTAAAACAGCTTGTAAACGCATAATTCTATTAATCATGTATATGGGGGTTCTGTACCCCCAGGAGCCGTCTTGGGCCCAACTAGCAATGCTGAAGGTGCAGACGATTCTTTCTGAGGTCCAGGTGTCCCCTTCATATTCTGATTGACAGGGGAAACCTGCAAAGGTATTATCGGTGTCTCTTTTCTTGTGGGATAATGTATCATACACAGGGATGCCCAGTTCTTGCTTGATGGAGATCGGTAGGAGGAAAAAGGAAGGTCTTATCCACCCCAATACACATGACCCTTGCCAATCTGCTGGAAGGGACGGATAGGCTAGGTTACCACAAATCCAATACATGTTATTTGGAGCTGTCCAAATTTGAGAGGATGTTGTGTCATAGAGATAAGGTAGGAGGGAAGTGTTGAATTTGGCAGGTGTGGTGGTAGCATTGTCAGGTGCTGTCCAAGTCTGGTAGGAGTTATCCCATGTACCTAAGCAAAGGAGGTGTCCTACTGGAGTGGATCCATTTCGGGAAAAACAGTTTCTACCAATTAAGTTAGTGGTAATTGTCCAGATAAGTGGATCGGAAGCTATTCTAGCTGTTATGTTTCCTACAGAAGACATGTTATTAAACAGAGATGGCGAGGCTTCTAAGGCTTGCCATGGCCATTGTTCTCCTGTGGTAGTTCCCCCACAGACAAAACAATTGGTTACTGCAAGTTGTTTTGCAATTTTTTCTGCCATATCCATGAACAAGTTTTTTGCAATAATGCTGGTATCAGGGGCTTTTTCTAATTTCCTTAAATTATTATATACTGACCAGCCTAATGATGTTTCCTCGCCTTCATAAATTATTTCAGTTTTTATGGTAATGTAAGTATTTGGGTCTATTCCTGTGCCATCAATCCCTATACCATAAGTTTCCAAGGCAGGGTGTTGCCTGGAGATAGTGATTTCTACCTTATTGTCTGTGGTAGACCCTGATATTCGTTTGAAATGTGACAGATGATTGCAACCTGAGTACCCTCCCCCGGTATAATCACAGACACAAGACCAACCCGAGCACTCAACGGAACCTCCACAAGGGGTCCAGTGGTTGGGGTTCCCCATGGCCCAGTTAATGGGTGTATGACACAAGTATTTATGATTGTGAGCGTACGTTGATTTCCAGTCATCCGACCCACATGAATGTCCCCCTGGTTTAGAACAAGCAACACAAACATCAAAGATTAAAACAATTGGGTTAGTACCGTCCTTGAGCACGGTGGTGTGGTTTAGGTAATAAAGTTTTCCTTCCCCTTCAGGATCGGATCTGCCAGAGGTTTTTGGAAGTCCTGCCCATAAGGTGACGTTGAGACGTACAGCTGCCTTGGGATCGTAGCAAATGGTTTTTGAGTTCATCTTGCATAGATGGTACATGGTCCCATTGTTTTGGCAAGTTTTTCCCGTAGGAAGGCACTTCTGCGGTTGTTGGGTATGGTAGATGAGAGTTATTTGAGTGGAACCTGCCTGCGTGGTTTTGGTCAGGCAGGGGGTGCAACCATCTGATGCGCTGGCAGAGTTCTGCGATCTCTTAATTCGATGTAGAAAAGGGGTGGCCTGAGCATAAATGTCAGGCTGACTTGCGAATTGTCTGTGATAATGACGAGATGAACGGGGTCTAAGGACTGTCCAGGATTCATAAATGTTGCTTATGGAATCATAGAGGCGTCGACCGGAGCAATAATAGGTGGTGGCAGTGGGGCGAAGTATGAGGAGTGTAGTTCGAGGGGGATGTTCAAAAGTGTTGATCTGGAAGGAAGCATTGCTGGAGATGTGGGGCCACGGCTTAGGGAGCGTTGACCATCTGAGGTAAGGGGGAAAGATGTCCCCAGATGCAGTGCAGGTCAGCAGGAGGGGAGTACCTGGCGTGAAGTACGTCACTTGAGATGGAATGGAGACCTTGGAGGCATGTGCAGCAAGAAAGAGGAAGAGGGTTGGCAAAGCAACGAGACGAATCATGTTGATATGTCTGCAGGTGGTGACTTTTCTACTTTGGGGTGGTATGGTCTGATGTGCCGTCCAGGAACCCACAGGACACGATCTGGAAGCTGGATAGCTGCGTAGCCACGACCCCAGGTGAGGAGAGCAGCAGGACCCTTCCAAGTAGGGTCTGGCAGTTGGCGGTAGTATACCTGTGGTTTGGGAGAATCAGGGGAGGGGGGGAGGAAAAATGCCGCTCCGCTGCTGTCATAGCAGGGTTGCCAGAGAGGTTGAGGAAGTTGAGGGTATAAAGACAGAGATTAAGAGTGTCTTGCATCGCCGGGAGGCCAAGGGTTCTTTTCCCTCTGATCAAATGTCGTTCTAACGCTGTTTTTAGCGTCAAGTTAGCTCTCTCTGCCAGGGCTTGTCCCTGGCTGTTATGAGGAATACCAAACTTGTGGGTAATTTGCCACTTAGCACAAAATTCTGACATAGCTGTGCTAGTGTATGCAGGACCATTATCTGTTTTTATTTCATTTGGGCGTCCCAACGATGCAAAAGTGCGAATGCAATGATTGATGACATGTTTGGAGGCTTCTCCTCTTTGCGGAGTTGCCATTATGAACCCTGAATAAGTATCAATTGTAACATGCAGATACTTCCAGGGGGCAAATGAAGGAAATTGAGTAACATCCATTTGCCATATTTCGCAGGCTTTCAACCCGCGGGGATTTACCCCTATGGGAATGGAATGGGCTTGTTTACTACAGGTGGGGCATTGTTGCCTAATGGCTGAGGCTTCAGCCATCGTGAGATTGAAATGTTTCATGAGAGCTTTGGTGTTTTGATGGAAATAAGAATGACTCTCCCAAGGAGTCAATGTGTGTGATGTCATGATGCCTGCAGCTGCTTGATCCGCCACATCATTGCCTTCCTGGAGGATTCCTGGGAAGGGTTGGTGGCTACGAATGTGTGCTACAAAGAAAGGATGTTGACGCTGTGCAACAAGGTGTTGTAATGTAACAAAAAGAGAGAGGAGGTTTTTATCAATTGCAGGAGAGAGGTAAGAGTCATGGATAGTAGAGACTATTTGAGTAACATATAGGCTGTCTAAGATCAAGTTGATGGGTTCATTAAAATTCTGGAAGACTAATATGGTTGCAGCAAGTTCAGCTCTTTGTGGTGATGTTTGCACAGGGGTGGTTTTAGTGTGCCACACCCCATTCCTTTGCCAAGCGCATGCTCCTCTTTCCCTACTGCCATCAGCAAAAATAGTCAAGGCGTTGACCAAAGGCCTTTTGCTGATGGGAGAGGAGAAAGAAATGGGTATTGTCCGAATGATTTGAAAACGTGGATCAGCGGGCGGGTGGCAGGAAACTAGTCCAGGCCAGTCAGCTAAGGCAAACTGGATTTCTTGGGAGTTCTGGAATAGAGGTTCCCATATTTGCAGTGAAAAAGGGATGAAAAGTGTGGAGACATCTATTCCCATAAGTAATTTTGCACGACTCCTACCTTTTATGATCAATTGAGCCAATTGAGCTGATTTGGAAGTGATGGAGCATCGTGGCGTATGGGAAAGATGGATCCACTCTATGATGTGGAGTTTTTGGTCCTTTTGAGTTACTGCTGCGGTCATAAGCCTCGGGGTGGCCAAAATGACCATATCTAAAGGAGTATTGGCAGCAGCTCTGTCTACCCATATTTTTCGGATATTCTCTTCTATGAGAGTTATTGCTTGAAGTTGAGGTTGCTGCAAGGATATTATGTCAGCAGGCTTTTTCCCCCAGGTAAGGGCTTCAAACAATGGAGAGAGAATATCAGTGGTTAAAGACAGGAAAGGTCTGGCCCAATTTATGGTACCCAGATATTGCTGAAGTTGAACCAAGGTGGGTTGAGAAGGTAGAGACAAAGAGGGAAGTGAAGGATAGGCAGTAGCAGAAAGCATTTTATAGCCCAGATATGCGTATGGAGTTAGTACTCCGGTGAAATCAATCTGTGTTCTCTGGAAAGGCCAGCCCACTAGGGGTTGCCCTCCCATTTCTTTTTTCCTTGCTGCTTTCTTGTTTACTTTCAAACATATAGTCCGGAGAGGGAAACCCCCCCCCCCCCCCCCCCCCCCCCC